TTGATACTATTTAAGTGATGTAATACACTAATTTTTTTGCAGTGAACAGTGTTCATTGATCATATTAACATTAAAATAAAAATAAACATGACTGTTCACTAATTAAAAATACATAAATCTGTAACGTTGGTTGCGATATTTCTTCATTGGTAAAACATTTCAATCCATCACTCAAGTGATATTATAGGTTTTTTTGTTTTTTGTTTTGTCGTGATATTATAGGTTCTATTCACTATTTTAAATACTAGACCTATATAATTAATTAATTATATGTTAAACTTAAAAAAACCAAATTTATTTTAAGCCTAAATTATAAGTAGATTAACCCTTTTTGTTAATTTGTCGTCTACGAGCTTGCACATACTTAGAAACCAGTCGATATGAAGATTATATAAAAACATGTGTAACAAAATTATAGTGTATATATATATATACGTACCGAGAACATCACCGGCTTTAAACTGTTTGCCTCTAGTCCAACCAACGGCGTTATAGGTCCAGCCACTAGAGTCACCGACTGTGTAAGTCGCAGCTTGAACGTAGTCAGCTTGAAGCAACAACACTGACACAGGCATAAGAGCCACAATGGCTTGAGCCGACCATGATGCACTGCCTCTTCTCGTGGCCATATCGATCTTAGACGAAAGTTTAGAAAAAGAAAGAGACTATAAAGAGAGTGAATGAGAGACCGAATTGAAGTGAAAATAGACAAGGGTTTTTAAAGAAGATGAAACTAACGTATTCAATTTTTTTGTTTTGTTTTGTTTTATTAATGTGGGTGTCTCAACAACCCACAATTTATGGTCATTTATTATTTACTGGACACATTGTCTACGTAAACTGATTTTAGTCAATACACCAAGCCAAAATCATATCCAATGTTTGGTTTATCTTTGTTTCACTATTGGATTACTATACTACTTATAGGTGTGAAACTAGTTTGATTTTTTCTTCTTTATTTTGAAATGCTTGGGCTAAAGTATTAACTCTAATATGGACTTTGTGTACAACGAGCAAATTAAGTCGTTGCACTAGTTTATTATCTCGATCTTACTTTTGGAGGTGAAAAGATTCAATTTTCTAACCAGTTGATGAATATCTAAAAGTAACTTGGATTTTTAGATTGCTTCTTGTGTATTTTTCTTTTATGAAAATTAGCATAAAACGATTTCTTGAATATTTTCATATAGAGTTACTACACTAATATATTTGAACCTTTCAAGTGATAAGAGAGGTATTGTAAATTTTAGAATCACATTGCTGTGTATACATTATAACAAAACCAAATTTACAAAACCCTAAATACATATACGCAGAGAGGAGAACATGGCCAAAAAGAATCGTATGGATCTAAATCTGAATTTCATGTCTATACCGCCGGAAAAAGAGTGTGGCTCGGCTTTGTATTGGACTCCCGGATTAAAAGATTTACCCGATATGGAAACCGGTGGACTTGAAAGAACTGGATAGTGTCGGAAGCGTACGCAAGGCAATAACTCCGGCAGCAAAAGCAGCAACAGACGCCAAAACAAACGCCGGTGAGTTTCCTCCTCCAAACAATTCATCCCACGGACCCGCTCCAAGAGATACTATCATCTGTTAAACAACCAAAACCATATTCAGACAGGTCTAAACTCGAATCGAGTGGTATCATACAAGCGAATGAGAATGAATTCGAGTGTAATTAGATTTGAAAGATTGCCTGAGGAATAACGATTGCGAGGTTTAACACTCCAATAGCCAAACCTACATTGAGAAAATGAAACCATTAGGGATTCCTGAAATCTAAAGATTATATAAGCACAAAGATATGAATGATTGAATCTTTGAAATACCTTGACCGCCACCAGAATCAGCAGTGACTTCTGCTGTGACAGAGAAAGGGACACTGTATGTGATCTGCGCAAAAGAAAAAAGAATGGGTTTATGACAAGTTTAAGAGAAATGTTGCAACTTGAATAAAGAGAATTTTTGGTTTATAAAAGATACACATACAGCTAGTGGAAAACCAAGGAGTGCAAAGACGACTACGGCTGCGGTTCTTGTTGTTTCATCACCATCTATTATGTGTTCGATATTTTTAGAACCCCTTAGAGACATGAAGCTAATGATAGCTGTTCCAGCCATACAGGCAAATACGATAAAATTGCTCAGAGCCCATACAACTCGAGCACCCATACGCTGACACATTGGTTCAATGAAGAATGAGCTGATCCCAAGAACAACCTAAGGAAACCGAGAAAAGAATTCAATAACAGACAAAGTGATTGAAGTGCGTAGACCAGGTTCTTTTTATCGATTCTTACAGAGTTTAGTAGCAAACCAAATGCACCTTCCCGGACACCTTGACTATAGAGTTCCACAAGCAAACTATCTCCATTTGGATTCCCATGGTAAACTTCTCTTCCCATCCAATCTGTATCAAACAGAAAGAAGGGGAACCACGATAACTGCAAGGAACAAGACATATATCAAAATATAATGGAAAGAGACTGATAAAGGTCATAAAAGAATTTAGGAACAGAAACGTGATAACCGATATAAGGATACCATAATGTTATATTGGCACTCACCCATGTAAGAGCCATAACGATCAGAACTGAGTGCATAGCAGGTGGCAAATGCCTTAAACTGGTTAGCAAATTCACTAAAACAGATCCGGGGCCATCAACGAAGGTCTCATCTTGATGCTCATTCTTTGACTTGCCAAGCTGTACATCCACATCACGTTCCACTCTCTCATACTTGATCCCGTTGGCAGTACCATGATTTGATTTTGAGTGCTCAAGGCCGTTAGGCTGGAGATCATCCAACAAAGGTGCAGAATCGGGTATGCGGGTGGGCTTATTGCTTGTCAAAGGAATCTCTTTAGCATAATAGATTGTGACAAGAGTACATATAGTGAGAAAGACCTGAAAAAATGACAACTCTTAGAAAAATCTGGAGTAGTATATATATATTTTAAAACAAGAGCAAAAGTCACTAGGTGGTTTAATATGGATTAGAACTTTCAAATCACCTCACAAATCATACAGAAATACTAACGGAAGGTCTTGAGTTGTGACTAATATGACATGGTTTGGTAAAGACCAGGCGATTCCATTGCATTTGTAGAAAGCTTAGCAGATGTGTGTCAGAAAAAAAAAACATAATGCTTACCACTGCAAGAAGAAACGCTGCTTTCAGATTTCCACATGCAGCACAACATGCTCTACTAGTTAGGAAAGGGAACCATCTGCTCAGTAAAATAGCAAAATCATTTAACGGCTGGCGAAAATTGCACAATTGCAAATGGGGAAACAGAATACAATTTTTTTTATGATGAGGATTTTGAAGATTACTCTTGCCAATGTCCGCTCGCACCGGCAGAAAATCCAAGGATATTCCCAATAGCCATCCACAAGCAGAACACAGCATTTGCAGTATTCCGCTGATCAGGACCTAAGGCGAGCAAGAGTCATCTCATCAGTGTTTTTCTAGAATCAGAAGCACAGAATATTCAATCTAGTGATAGATTTTCAATAGCAATTCTGATCTGTTAAGTGTACGGTGTTATTCCATCAATACCTGATAGATCAGCTAGAAGAGCACGAGCAGGTCCCTGAAACAAATGAAGAAAACATCATTACTGGATATTTAGGTAATGACTAACACCATTCAATCTAGTAGATTGGATCTGAACCTGTACTGTGTTGTTTGCTAGATCCAACAACCAAAACCCAATGATAAAAACAAAAGCTGCCCTGGTCCGTGTGCCTTTGAAAGTACTGCATTGACAAATGCACATCAAATCGTCAATTACTTTGATTTTATACAATACATACGAAACATGCCATAAGCAGGGGAGCAGGAGAGCAACCTGCAATGTTCCTTTGTATCTCCTAACAGATACCCAATGTCTGCAGAAAACCCGATTATTATCACCTAAATTGCAAGCTTTTGTTTAGCTTATATAAAACACAATGTAGCCAGCTATATCCTAAAAGAAAATAAAAACAAGAATCATATCTTCAATTGCCCCTTACTGCTATTGAGATCATGAGAGATCCCACGAGAATAAATGGCCGTCTTCTTCCATACTTTGAAGTACATTTGTCACTCCAAATGCCAACACAAGGCTGGACCTAAAAACCAACAAACAAATAAGCACGCCCGCGTAAAGAAATAGTTTCTGATCATAAATATATCAAATTTCTAACTCTAGTGAGAGACAGATGTGTAGATCATCACTGAATATACTTATTATGTTTAAAAACTTACCACAAGGCCTGTAATTGGGCCGCATAGCCAAATAAATGAAGAAAACGCATGTGATATTCCAAGGGTCTGCATAAATCACCCAAATGCAACACTGTTAGATAAAAACTCAAAAAGATTCATCAGCAACGACAAAAGAACATTATCGACAACTTCTCCGATACACAAATCTAAATCTACCACCACACCTACCCACCTGATATATAAATGAACCAGTATAAATATAATTCAGATGTCTAAACACAATTCAATCCTACGATAAGCATTCCGGATCTATGCTAGTTCTGAAAGAAGCTAAAGAAAGTCTCTTATAGTTTTTATTACAATGCTTAAATACAACAATGGAGGTACACAATTCGTATGTCAAATTAGGCGATGATACCATATGATTCCAGGCGTAAAATGTCTCGTAGCTATGTTGAGAGCCTAAACCATAATTTCCATCCAATTCAAATGTCATATATGAGTCAATAACATTGGCCAACAACAACCACCCAACCATTAAACTTCATTCTTTCGTTCACCTAACAAAGTACTCGACTTCTTCACACAAGCCAGCACAGAGAAAAAACCCAAGAGAGTGACACAAATGGCGACAAAAATGGCTGAGTAGTACCTGAATGTACGGAGTTAGAAGAGAAAGTTGCAACGCCCAACCAAATTGAACACCAGCAGCGACTGTACAACTAAGAACCAGCGTGAGTAAGCTACAATCCTTCGACACGGTTTCACCATCAGCCGAATCAGGATGATTCGAATTCGAAGGAGAATCAGATGAAGAAGAACCATGTTCGATTTGATGCTTCGTCACCATCTCCAATTCAACATCCTTCTTCAAATTCCTATACGGTACCGAAATCGACACCGAATCACTCTTCCCCGCCATAAATCTCCTCGTACAGATTCCTAAATTCGCGTATTCAAATCAATAATCTCTCATTACAAACAAACAAACCCAGAAATCAACAAGATCTTAGTTCTAGGGGATTACGTCAGGAGATTTTCGGAGAAGACGATCGAGATCTAGCGAAAGAGTCAAATTCGGGCGCGTGAATTTGATGAGAATTGATTGATTTGATCGGAGACGACGAAGAGTGTTAGAAAAAGGGAAGATTCGTTTTATCAGGAACCGTTGATTTATATAATGAACGGTTGAGATTATATCTACTGGTCTTAACTTATAAGTCAAACTTCTCTTCGTCTCGAGATTTAACGTAATCACAACCGTTGATTTGATTTTTTCTTCAGATTAAAACCGTTTGCTTTGTGTTAAAGAAATAGCGGACGATAC